CAAATTAATCGTTGTGAACATGAAACCCCATTGATTAAAAAACATGCCTACTGTTTTTAAGATCGCTTCGAGTTTTTAAAATCACCAAGAATGATTTTTCAAAGATTCAACGCTATTTTGTTCATAAGGTTGGGAACCAGTAGCGTAGCGAGGGGGGGGGGGGGACATATGTCCCCGGGCGCCGACCTTAGGGGGCGCCAAAATGGGTTTGAAAAATAAATAGAAAGGTTGAGGGGGGTGCAAATATAGAGAAAAATTTGAGAGGGGGGGGGGGGGGGGGGTGCAAATGGAAATCTCGAGGGGGGGGGGGGTGCAAATCGAAAGTTTGAGGGGGGGGGGGTGCAAATCAAAATCTCGAGGGGGGTGCAAATCGAAAAGTTTGTCCCAGGGCGCCGGGAATGGTCGCTACGCCTCTGTTGGGAACTTATATATTTGCATGCTTTCTGAATACAAATACTTATAACAGAATCAAATAAAGCACAAGTGGGCCTAGTCTATTAATTACATATTACCGACAATATTGTAACTACATTTTAGGACAACTTGTTACGGCTTCGGATTAAGAAAAAACAAATTGTGCGCTTTTTTGGAATATACATTTTTCTTTAACCGAAATTACATGCTATCGGACGGCGTGCGTGGCCTATGAGATAGAGCGCTTGATTGTAATCCCGAAAGTCTCGAGTTCGAATCCAGGTCCAAGTCAGTGGCGTCGCTCGCTAACTCGCTAAGTCGAGTGTCACCCGGTGCGGTAACTTATGGTGTCGTCCCCCCCCCCAACAAAGGAAACATGTATATATATATATATATATATATATATATATATATATATATATATATATATATATATATATATATATATATATATATATATGTTACGGTCAAAGCCCGAAGTCGGCCAATACGCGGATTGGCCGGCCAATCCGCGCATTGACCAATACCGCCTCCCATAAGTCGGTCAAAGTCCGAAACTTTGCTTGATTTCGGCCTTTGGCCGGCCAATCCGCAGACTGGCCATGGTGGACCGGCCAAAGTCTGAAATAGCTCTTGATTTCGGCCTTTGGCCGGCCATTCCGCGGACTGGCCATGGTGGACCGGCCAAAGTCTTAATTAGAAGATCATCTGGCTAAATACGACCTGGCCAAAGTCTGAATTAGAAAATCATGAGCAGATTTTGGGTTTTTTGATGCCGTAATTATCATGAAATTAAGTCTTTATTGATTATTAATTAAAGTAAATGACAGAAACATTCAAATTTTTTATTGTACTATAGTCTCAATCAATCAGTATTATCATTTGTTACAACAAGTTGAACTTTTATGGCATTTAGAATTACATAGCAGCTTGTTATTTTTACACTTGCAGCGATTTGTTGTGCACTTGGTTGTGCAATTGCAGCGAGTGTAGCCTTGGCCCCCAGTCAATGATTGTGAAGATGCGATGGTTCGTAGTGATTTTTCCTCAGTGCCAACTGACGACAATAAGAGCAGTTTTTCGTGAAGAATTGAAAACTCACTTCTAGCATACAGTTGTTTTAGAACACCATGTTCCGTTCCTAATTTGTAGAAACCGCCCTCGACGCTCATGACAACTGCAATCACGCTTCGGTGATCACCGCTACCTCTGTCAACATCTGGAACACGGATGCGTACATTGTCACCCACTTCACCATCTTTAAATTTTGTATTTGATGTTTTAAGCATCTTAGCACCTTGATTTTGCAAGCCAGTATGAGCTGCTGATCTGTGTTCCATGATGTCTTGTTTGTTGTGACAGGTAATGTTCCCTCCGTACCCTTCGTCTGCTTCATTGGGTACTCCACAAATAGCATGGACATCTTTGCCACAGGATCCACAAGAATGAGCTGCACTACAATGTTTTTTACAAACTATACAGATTTTGTTGGCCACATTATTGTCACGCAACTGATCTGGACGTTCCGCCACGGCAGCAGATGTGTTAGCTGAGGATGTAGTTGCATTAATGTCAACCTCCATTTCTTGTTCAATGTTCTCAAGATCTTCCTCAGTAACTATTTTATTGAGAGCCTCTCTTGTTAGATTTGAAGTGCTAAGTCCCACTTTTGCTTTGCATCCAAACAAGGCTTCGTATGGTGATTGTTGGATTCCTTGATGAAAAGAACGATTTTTCATAAATTGAATGAATTTGAGACTCTCAGCCCAATGAGCTGATTCATTTGTTTGCATCCATGTCATCATCATATTTTGAACATCTTGGTTGGCACGTTCGACTGAACCTTAGCTTTGGCTATGCCTTGGTTTTCCGTGAACTAGTTTAAGTTTAGGCCACATGTTCTTTAGTTCAGAAATAACTTGATTCACAAATTCTCTTCCATTATCTGATTGAAGCACACTTGGAGCACCAATAGTCGTGAAGATATCCAGCAGCTGGTAAGCAACTTCTTCTGCTCTTTTGGTTTCCAAAGCTCGCAACAATATGAACTTGGTTAAATGATCCTGGTAACTGAGTATAAACTTGTATTTGCCGTCTGTGTTACTTTGCATATCAATAATATCTACTTGGTATCTTGAGTTAAATTCTTTAAATATTAAAGGTTTGAAAACAAGACCTTTCTTGGGATTAGACAATTTTGTCTGACAAGGCTTGCACAACCGAAGATACATAGTAATGATTTCTTTGGTGATATTTTTGTACTTTCTCTTGAGCTCTTTTTACATCCTTGTGGATGCTTTACAAACAAGAGCTAAACAATACGTTACTCACAATGAAACCGCACCCAGAATAATGAAAACGCGATCACAACTTAGTCTAGATAGAACATTGGCCAGGACATCCCGGCCAATGCGCGCATTGGCCGGCCAATGTACAAAATACGCTGTCAAGTTTAAGCACTTCGGACTTTGGCCAGTACGTCCCGGCCAGTGCGCGCATTGGCCGGCCAATGTACGAAATACGATCTTAGTTCTAAGTTCTTCGAGCTTTGGCCAAGAGAGCCGGCCAATCCGCGCATTGGCCGGCCAATCCGGGGTTTGGCCGCACTTCGGGCTTTGACCGTAACATATATATACATATATATATATATATATATATATATCTATAATATAAGCGGGCAAGTAGTGTGTCAGTCCTTCCTTCCTTCCGTCATCGCTATAGCTTTTAGAACCATAAAAGTAAACATTCGCACCACGCAGTGCTTTTCAGTGCACCGCAGTGTCTTATTATAAGTATTAGAGTAGGGTTTGTTTATATAGTGGCATAGAGCTATTTTATAATTTCCACTATTTGTACAATTTTGCATAACGTAAAGAAAATATTAAATACACGCACATTGCTAAAACATATTAAAAGGATCAATGTCAAATATAGTTTTCGTTAATATTCCTAGAAAAAGTGGATACATTTTAATAACATAATAACAGTACGGTAGAAAAATCAAATTAATTTAACTCTTTTTTTCTACTTTTGACAAAGGAGGTAATTTAAAAATACACGCTAATAAAAAATGTGAATGCAAATATACGTTCGTCATAGAAGGAATTAGTGTTGCAATAATATAATTAGCAAAATGTGAATGCAAATTATTCGGATGTGTAAGAGGAAATTATAGTTAGAAAATTATAATTAGCATGGATTGATAAAAGGCAATCTTTTATTTATTTTATTCACTGAATGTAGGCCCTACTGTTTATTACTTATAATTTTTAATCAACTATTCAGCAGTGTCAGCACTATTATAGACGCGTCATCACGTTCATTAGGTGCGCAATGGTTTTAGTTATGAAACTCTATTGTAAATTTTTAAAATTTAAAGTACTGGAAAAAATGCGTGAATGGATAAAGTGAAATATTGTAGGTAAAACACGGATATTTTAAATACTGCCTATTATTTATGCTGATTTCTAATTATTATTCTATCTTCGGGTTTTATAGGAGAGGCGTAGCGAGGGGGGCATATGTCCCCGGGTGCCGACCTTAGGGGGCGCCAAAGTGGGTTGGAAAAAATTTGCGAGGGGGGGGTGGTGGAAATCGAAAGTTTTAGGGCGGGGGGGGGGGGGGAAGGGGTGCAAATCGAAAGTTTGAGGGGGGTGCAAATCACCGGAAAGGGCGCAATTTGGCGCTACGGGCTAGACTGTGAGCAATATGCCTGTATGATATGATTGCATTTAAATTGTGTTTATGTTATGAGTGTTATGTTTGTTTTTTCGTTGTTTTTTTTTTGTTGTTTTTTTTTGCGTTCGTTTGTGTTGTGTTTAGTTTTGTTCTGTTCCCAAGTTGGTACATTTAAAAAAGATTTACCGTGGCGGAGCACGGGATGCAGCTAGTATATATATATATATATATATATATATATATATATATATATATATATATATATATATAAACGATAGCTTTAAAGGGTTCACAGTTAATAGTAAAGATGTTTATCTACAGTCGATTATTAATTTAGGGGGATGTAGCACTATTTTATCTTTAGTAAGAAGGTTCTTGTCATGAAGCTTATCATATCATATATCCCTTGTTCGGATCGTCAATTTATACCATAAATACTTTTTAACTATAATTAATCATTCATTGAAGTGGCATAAAGCATATTTGTTTTACATATTTTGCAATTTTTTTTGTCTTGATGTCACCAATCAAAATGATGTCACCCGGTGCGCACCCCCCCCCCCCCTTCGCATGCGACGCCTCTGGTCCAAGTCAGTAGACCGTCCCTGAGTCCACCCAGCTCTGATGGGTACCTAACTCAGTTTATGGAAAGTCGCTACGCCCCTGATTCTACTTCATGTACTCAGTGGATTAATAGGACTGAAGACGATTCTTCAGAATACTTTACGATTCAATCATTAGCTTTGTGTATAATTTAAAGTAAATTTTTAAAAGCGGAACGAAATGTAAGAAAACGCGAAGTTGGTGAACTATATTTTACTAGCCATATATTTGTGCTATTGTTTTGTTTCTATTTTGAAAAGGCAACGGTATCCCTAGTTACATTTCCGGTTCGAGTTTTTAAACAATTCTTGTCTAATATTGCTTGTAAGGTAAACATTTCACTTTTTCACTCGTTTTAGAAACGATTAAATCTCAACAGTGTTGTTGCCAGCTATTTATAACTTAGCTGCTTGACCATAATGTAACACATGATGAGGAATTATATGGGTAAACTTTTTTAAACAGATCTAAATAGAAATAAGATTTTAATAGACCAAGGTCTACCTTGTTTACCTTATTTTAATTTTATTTTCTGCGTATTTAAAAAAATAAAATAAAAAAGTCACTTTCCATTGATTTATTAATGGGCACAGCCATATGGTCGGGTCCAGACCCCAGACAGATGGTCGGGCACAGGCAGATGGTCGGGCCCAGGCAGATGGTCGGGCCTAGACCCCAGGCAGATGGTCGGGCCCAGGCAGATGGTCGGGCCCAGGCAGATGGTCGGGCCTAGACCTCAGGCAGATGGTCGGGCCTAGACCTCAGGCAGATGGTCGGGCCCAGGCAGATGGTCGGGCCCAGACCCCAGGCAGATGGTCGGGCCCAGGCAGATGGTCGGGCCTAGACCCCAGGCAGATGGTCGGGCCCAGACCCCAGGCAGATGGTCGGGCCCAGGCAGATGGTCGGGCCTAGACCCCAGGCAGATGGTCGGGCCCAGACCCCAGGCAGATGGTCGGGCCCAGGCAGATGGTCGGGCCTAGACCCCAGGCAGATGGTCGGGCCCAGACCCCAGGCAGATGGTCGGGCCTAGACCCCAGGCAGATGGTCGGGCCCAGACCCCAGGCAGATGGTCGGGCCCAGGCAGATGGTCGGGCACAGGCAGATGGTCGGGCCTAGACCCCAGGCAGATGGTCGGGCCCAGACCCCAGGCAGATGGTCGGGCCCAGACCCCAGGCAGATGGTCGGGCCCAGACCCCAGGCAGATGGTCGGGCCCAGACCCCAGGCAGATGGTCGGGCCCAGACCCCAGGCAGATGGTCGGGCCCAGACCCCAGGCAGATGGTCGGGCCCAGGCAGATGGTCGGGCCCAGGCAGATGGTCGGGCCCAGACCCCAGGCAGATGGTCGGGCCCAGACCCCAGGCAGATGGTCGGGCCCAGGCAGATGGTCGGGCCCAGACCCCAGGCAGATGGTCGGGCCCAGACCCCAGGCAGATGGTCGGGCCCAGGCAGATGGTCGGGCCCAGGCAGATGGTCGGGCCCAGACCCCAGGCAGATGGTCGGGCCCAGGCCCCAGGCAGATGGTCGGGCCCAGGCAGATGGTCGGGCCTAGACCCCAGGCAGATGGTCGGGCCCAGACCCCAGGCAGATGGTCGGGCCCAGTCAGATGGTCGGGCACAGGCAGATGGTCGGGCCTAGACCCCAGGCAGATGGTCGGGCCCAGACCCCAGGCAGATGGTCGGGCCCAGTCAGATGGTCGGGCACAGGCAGATGGTCGGGCCCAGACCTCAGGCAGATGGTCGGGCCCAGACCTCAGGCAGATGGTCGGGCCCAGACCTCAGGCAGATGGTCGGGCCCAGACCTCAGGCAGATGGTCGGGCCCAGACCTCAGGCAGATGGTCGGGCCCAGACCCCAGGCAGATGGTCGGGCCTAGACCCCAGGCAGATGGTCGGGCCCAGACCCCAGGCAGATGGTCGGGCCTAGACCCCAGGCAGATGGTCGGGCCCAGACCCCAGGCAGATGGTCGGGCCCAGGCCCCAGGCAGATGGTCGGGCCCAGATAGATGGTCGGGCCCAGACCCCAGGCAGATGGTCGGGCCCAGACCCCAGGCAGATGGTCGGGCACAGGCAGATGGTCGGGCCCAGACCCCAGGCAGATGGTCGGGCCCAGACCCCAGGCAGATGGTCGGGCCCAGACCCCGGGCAGATGGTCGGGCCCAGACCCCAGGCAGATGGTCGGGCCCAGACCCCGGGCAGATGGTCGGGCCCAGACCACAGGCAGATGGTCGGGCCCAGACCCCAGGCAGATGGTCGGGCCCAGACAGATGGTCGGGCCCAGACACCAGACAGATGGTTGGGCCCAGACCCCAGGCAGATGGTCGGGCCCAGATAGATGGTCGGGCCCAGACCCCAGGCAGATGGTCGGGCCCAGACCCCAGGCAGATGGTCGGGCACAGGCAGATGGTCGGGCCCAGTCCCCAGGCAGATGGTCGGGCCCAGACCCCAGGCAGATGGTCGGGCCCAGACCCCAGGCAGATGGTCGGGCCCAGACCACAGGCAGATGGTTGGGCCCAGACCCCAGGCAGATGGTCGGGCCCAGACACCAGGCAGATGGTCGGGCCCAGACCCCAGGCAGATGGTCGGGCCCAGACCCCAGGCAGATGGTCGGGCCCAGACCCCAGGCAGATGGTCGGGCCCAGACCACAGGCAGATGGTCGGGCACAGGCAGATGGTCGGGCCCCAAGCAGATATTTAAACCTAATAACGCTTAACCAGGATACTAGTTTTTACGGATTGTTTAGCCAATTATCCTTTTAACCCAAGAAATCTTTCAGTCCCATAAGTAGCTTGTTAAAAAAATGTCAACATGCTATACTATGATTTCAGGGATGGAGCTATTTCTTTTGACCGTTGCACCTTTGCTTGCTATACTAGTTCTCACGAAAGTCATCGCAGATCAGATAGTAGACAATTTAATCTTGGCGCTGGTGAGTACATTCTGAGCCGGTTGATACGGCTCATGAGTAATCTCGGCGCTGGTGAGTACATTCTGAGCCGGTTGATACGGCTCATGAGTAATCTCGTCGCTGGTGAGTACATTCTGAGCCGGTTGATATGGCTCATGAGTAATCTCGGCTCTGGTGAGTACATTCTGAGCCGATTGATACGGTTAATGAGACAGGCATTACATTTGGAGTTAGGGACATGAATGAAGCCACATTCGTTTTGCTGCCCCACCCCCCCCCCCCCCTCCTGTATTCGTCACAAACAATGGGAACATTACGGTTCACGGGCAAGTGAAGTAGATTTCACCTGTTTCAATGACTCCGGCTTATGAAGAGATAGTTTGCTCAGCACTATGTAACTTTAATTGAGTTAGGTACCTATAAGATCTGAGTGAACTCAGGGACGTCCTACGGATCCAAACTCAAGACTTCCGGGTTAGCAGTCCACCTCTCGACCACGCCGTCCCTTATGAGGAGTGGGGTGTCGCATCATATGAATGACTCCATATATGTTTTCTAGCAGTCTATTTATATCCCAAGCAGTTAAACAAACTATAAACTGTTGTTGTTGCAGAGTGAACTGTTTACCATCAACCCCATTACTTTCTACTGGAAACTTTGTATTGGACTGTATGTTGTGTTTCTTACAGTGATTCAACGGTAAGGGCAAAGGTCAAGCACACACAGCAAGCACTCACATACCCCACACACAATCACCCCCACACAAAACCCATGCCCACCCACACGACTTGCCGTCAACAGTGTGTATTTATCCTAAAATAGTCGGTGAATTATTTTATTTATTTATTTCAGAATACGGTCAAAATAAATCTGATTGATTACTGTCTGGTGGAAACTCTTGATTAGATTATGTGAAGTGTTGCTACATTACCTCAACGGTAAGGGCTAAACACACACTCACACATCCAAGCACATACACTTTCACGCCCATACACATGCATACAAATACATTATTTGTTTTTTTATGCCATAGAAAAAATTAAAAATATTGTTACGTACTGAGTATTTTTTTTTACATATTTTACCTGAATCATAGGTTGAATTTACAATTATGCAACTATCTGGACCAAATCATGTAAATCGTACGAGTTTTGAATGGCATGTTTCATTTTATAAAATATCGTTTCTACGATACACATTAAAAAAAATACAAGTTTCTGTTTATAAATCTAGTTGCATTAGAACATTAAATATGGGATAGCTACACAATTTAGTAAACTCTGATAAACTCTGTTTAGTAAAGCATTTGTAAATTTAGGAAAGGCATGTAAAAACTGTTACAGAATAATTCACCAGAACTCAATCATGCCTAAATTTTAAACCCAACCAACAATTGCAATAAACTAAAAAAAACTAACTGAAACTAAATACCAACCTTAAACTTAACATAACCAAATGGACATGGTCAAATTGCATACAATTTATTTCAACTACAGCTTTTTGATGCACTCGTTGTCTATTTGAACAATTTTTTCTTGAGCGGTAAAAATTCACGAGTTGCAATAACAAAAACCGCAAACGAATATAAATGCATTTAAATTTTCGAAGTCGAATATTAACTTAAGTTCGAAGTTTGTCGCGATTCTCCCGGTAATGGCAGATTTCACCATTAAGCTAATAACGGCGTGGCCTAGCGGTAGAGCGATAAACTTCTAACCTGAAAGTCTTGAGTTCGATCCGGGTTAAAGTCAGTAGAACGTCCCTGAGTCTACCCAGCTATAATGGGTACCTGTATCCAGTGGCGTAGCGAGGTCGGGTGTCACCCGGTGCGGCACTTAATGGTGTCACCCCCTCAGAGGCGTAGCGACCCTTCCCGGGGACAAACTTTCAAGTTGTCGATTTGCACACCCCCCCCCCCCCTCAAGTCTTCGATTTGCACCCCCCTCCTCAAGTTTTCGATTTGCCCCCCCCCCACCCCCGCAAACTTTCGATTTGCACCCCCCCTCAAGTTTTTCTCTATATATTTTGCTATTTTTTGCCTTGGTGTCACCCCCCTAAATGGTGTCATCCGGTGCGGTCCGCACCCCTGCCCCCCCCCCTCGCTACGCCCCTGCCTGTGTCTGACTCACGTTAGGGAAAGTAAAGACGGCTGAGCATAGTGCTGACCACATTATCCCTTGATATTCCGAGTTCATAGAAACAGGTGAAATCTACTTCACGATTTACTAATGTTATTTTTTATTTCAAGTCTACTAGCCGTGGTCAGTATAGGCGGGGATTCTTTATTAAATTTATAGTGTGTGAACTCATTCTTACCTTGCGAATGTTCTATTGATTTTGAAGAGTGAAATACCGACCACTCTTTGACTTAGTTTGTCTCTATTTAACCTAATGTGTGCATGGGGGTCTAGACTTTTATGCTGATGTGTACAAGTATCTAGGGTTAAGAAAGTCACACCTTGGTATTGTTTGAAATATTTTTTTAATAATTGAATTCCAGCGTCAATGGTCAGTGTGAGCGAGGGTTCTATAACAGAGGAGGTGGTCATCAGCAAGAGGGGAGAGGGGCAGAAGACGGAGGAGTTTGTCGGTGATACCCCGGTCAAGAGCCAGGCCATTGGGGAGTGTGTCCAGATTCTTGAGCAGGTCGTCATCCCCTCCAAGTCAAGCAGTTGGAGGTCTTCAGTGGGTAGACCTCTTCCCCGGGGTAACTCGCTGCGTCCTTCACCCTGGTCACACATGACTGGGGCTGAGGACTCTCACGCTGAGACCTTGTCAGAAGCCAGCGAATACAACGTCCACGTCCATCAAATCACCAACAGCTCGCCAGCTTCTGACGAGGTTTGTAAGGAAGGTCCTGGGCTCTCGGGGAACATCGCATCCATCGTGCAGGAGGCGACTGAAGAATTCCCTCAACACGACACCGATACTTCGCCGAGGTCAAGCTCAATAAGGTTGCGGGTCAAGGTCAGTGTGGAGACTGGTCAAGAGAAAGATCTGGACAAGATCTCGGTGTCTGGGGAAGATGCGAAGTGCTTGTTTGGTTTGTCTGTTGACCAGTCCAGTTTGACCCAGAGCCACAGCAAAGTGACTCTGAGTATCAGAAACAAGGGTTTAGATACACCTCACTTTGAAGGGGATATCTCTGGGCAGATAGAAGCACAAAACAATATGACATCGGAGCTTTCGAGCAAGTACATGACTAAAACAGCAACAAACGATGACGAGTATGCCAAGACCCCTACGACAAATATTCAGGAGTTTGATGGGACAGAATCTCAGCCCATCTCATATCATCATTCTTCAAAATCTGACCCCAGCCCCCACACTTACATTGAGTGCTTATCGAGCAGTATGTCATATCGTGATTTAGAGAAGGAAGTGAACATTACAGACTCTGTTTATGAGAAGATTCTGCTGGCATCATCGCAGAAATTTCTGCTCAGTGGTCCTGGTGCTATTTCTCTGAAAACTAAAGAACTAATCAGTGAGCACATTTCAAACATTCTCACATCAATTTCTAATAAACAAGAAATATGTTCAGCTTCCTACCACTTTCATGTTAACGGAATGTTCGGGATGGAGGAGAGAGTAAAAGACGTCCAGACTCCAATTGCCACGCCTAAACAAATGCAGCTGACACCTCTACAGATGTGGGAGGGTACAGCTATTCTTTTCACTCAACCTTTACCTCCCACCCTGGAGATTGTATTTTAGCGTGTGGTCCCAAACCTAGCGTGCTGGGGTACAAAAGCAATGCTAGTTATACCACGGTTATCTCAATTATTCGGACAGTGATAGAGGTGGATTTTAATGGAGATAATACGGTAACAAAATAAAAATGTCCATTCTACTTAATTTTTCAGCAATATTTTGCAACAAGTTTGAATAAACCTGTGTGAAAAATTGCTGAAACTTTTGAATTTAGTTGCTAGTCTCAAAACGGGTGTTTAATGACTTCATTTCACATTGTAAAGATCTTTAATCAATTTTGTTTAAAATTTATTTTTGAGATATTTTGTATGAGTAATTCATCATTAATAGCTTTTTTACATTTACTCCATGAATAAACCAAATGTTTTGCATATTTAATAATGTCATGTTAATCTACAATGTTCGAGTAATTATTTTTTTAATTTATTACTAGCCTGATTAAAATAAAAAGACCAAGAAAATTAATTTTTTGTAAGAGCTTTTAATTTTTAAATCATCTCATTGCATTTAGTATTTACATTGAATTTGTTGGTTCAGCAAATTGCACCGTACAATTTTAAAGATTCTCCAAATGCAAAATCACATGTTTAATCCATGTATATAAGATGTTTTTATTTTTAAATTTATCTTTGCATTTAGTATTTACATTGCATTTATTCGTTTGGCGAATTGTAGAAATACAATGTTAGAGATTATTCAAATGCAAAATAACGTATTGTTTCATCCATATTTTTTAAATTTTTAAATGATCTTTTTCCATTTGGCATTTACAATGCATATCTTTGTTCGTAAAA